GCACGAATGGGTCGGACCAAGCTCTTACAGAATCCCAGCGTAAAAACAGCAGCTAAAGGCTGTTGTGTTTCGTATGATGAGTGTAGCAAACCAGAGACCAGTTTTTACTGGAAATGAAGCATCTGCATTTTGATTCATAATCTAGGATAAATGTCTATGGGTCACAGTTTCCACTTACCATCAGGTAGACTCTGTGCTCGATTGTCACCCATATTCTATAAAAAAAAACATAATAAATATTCTATTTAATATAAATCTAATGAAATAAAGTAAAATTAAATACATTTAGGTACCAATATAATATTCAATGAAGCAATCCAGTTTTATTAATTTATTAGTTTATTATCTACATTTACCGCGGCTTAGCTCGTCATCGTTTTACCAACTTTATTCGTACCTATTCCATTCGATGTAAAAATTTGTACAACCGAGCACACATGGAATCCACTTAGTGTGTGTCCATTTGTTAATATGATAATTATAATTTATAAGATGATAATTCAAATCTGGCCTTGTTAGAATGTACGGGACGTAAGACAAAGAAAATCAAGGAAATAACCAATTTTTGGGGAGTGAAATCGAATATTAAGAATTAAACCATTTTGTGTGTCATATAAAAGCCCCATAAAACAACAGTTTGAAAATATATAAAGCAAAATATTCTGTTAAACATTATTTTATAGTTTTCCGAAAAAAAATTAGAATTATTGCTCTCTCACTGTGTTTTCAAAAGTATTAAATACAAATTCTTAAAAGATCGCGAGTAGAAATAATACGGCATACATATACTTTTTGCTCTTTTAATTTATTTATTTCAACGAATTATTTTTGTATTTCATAGCATTGCTTTTATTTACGGCATAATGTATACTTATACGGGTGATATTCGATCCATATCGCTGGTCCTGTTAATTTCCACCATAAAATAACAGGTTTTGGGTATTTTTACACGTTCTTTCGGTTCGCTAACCGTTTTATTCGAGTGATTTTAAATTCCATGAACGCAGATGAGTTGTACTCATCGTTTAAACAATCATGAACTTGCCTTTAATTAAAATTCGTTATCAATCTTTAATATTTATTACCGTACTTTTTCTTTCGCTTGCGTATATATATACTCGTGCAATTTAAAACAATATTTCTGAAAATAATATGAATGTGGTTAAAAGAAAATATAATTTTTTGTCTCTTTATTTGATCTACAAAACTGAACACATTAATTATTACAACATGCTTTCACGTATTGGATAACAAATATTTCAAAATTATATTTTGTTTATAGTGAACCCCCCGCATGCACATAAGATAAACCTAACTAAGTACGTAATAATTAACAATAATTAATGTTTTTTTTAATAAAGTAAAACTTTAATCCGGGCATATGATCGTAAATTCGCTTCAGACGCCCTGGGGTTAAAGACAAACAAACTGCTTATTTTGTCACTTATTGTATTTATTTTATTTTATTTATTATTGCACATCTTAACTGAATGCAAATGCGCAAACGTAACGTTAATCTAGGAAACTGCGTACTTAGCCTTCAAGAAGTGAAAATATTCACAATTACTAAGCAACTATTGCAATTCAGCTTCATTACAGCCCTACACATCCATCGACTTCCTGCACGTTTTATCAAGTCGTCACTCCATCTAGTGGGGGTCGCCCACTAGATGGAGGATACACTACGCCTACCGGTACAAGGCTGCCATTCGAGAACCTTTTTTCCCCATCGGTTGTCGGTTTTTCGAGCTATGTGACCGGCCCATTGGCTCTTCAGCTTACTAATACGTTGGGCTATGTCGGTCACTCTGGTTCTACTGTGGATATCCTCATTTCTAAGTTTATTACGCAGAGAAACCCCGAGCACAGCCTTCTCCATAGCTCGCTGAGGGACCTTGAGCTCCTCATACGGCCAGCAGTGAAGGACTACGTCTCAAATCTATAGGTTTTGAGGTATATCTGACGAGAAGATGTGTCGTAATTTCCCGAACGGTGCTCAATCGAGTTGAATCCGTCGATTGACCTCTCATACGAAGTTGGACTTACCTATTCCGACTATTTGTCCCAGGTAAACGTATTCCTCAACCACTTCGAGCTTAGTGCTCCCAACAACTACCGGAATGTTCATGAATGAATAATGTTCATGAAGAAATATTACCACCGCACTTCTGCTCCACGCCTCCGGAGTAGTGCCACCATAGAGGACGGAATTGAAGAGCTGCTGAAGAACTTTAAGTACCGGTGTTCCACCCTCTTTCAGAAGCTCCGCTGTAATTCTTGGCCTTGCAGTTTTTAAGGTGCTGGAGAGCCATTTTAATCTCGCTCAGACTAACGTCCGGGATATCACTCAAACTTGCTTGTGGCTCCAACGGTGATGTGTACATCTGCCAATAGCATCTCTCAATCTCCCTCAAAATCTCAGGTGTCCCGGAAACGATGCTGCCACATTCAGTAATCGCTGCCAGTTTTCGCCCTTGCGCTGGCTGAGACATCACTGAAAAATTCATCAAATAGTTCTCTTCTACAGTCTATAGCCATCACAATCCTCTTCTTACTTTTATTAATCTATCCTCGCACTTAAATAAATAAACTAATCAACGTTACCATCCATATAATCTGGATACTTGACTGTCCACTATTGTTCGATATACTAGGAGTTTTCGTCTTCGCAGTAATTTGTGGAATTGTTTACCACAGCTTAATTGAGGACATGTTCGTTTTATTTTAAATCTTAATAAAGCATTCCAAAAAATACCCGTTTTGATATTTCATTTCATTTAGGAGATATAAATATTCTGGTGAAAGATCACTGACCTTCTTGATAAAGTTTTTGTCTGTATTTCTTGAATAAAACAAATGTCAGTCTCTTATAAAATACAAATTAGATTGTTGGTTTGAAATATATTCAGTGTATATATTGCAAGTCCCTTACGTCACAGGAACGAGAATAAAAAATTATTTTGTTGATAAAATTATATAAAATTATCTATTTATGGGTCGCGTTATTTTGCATAATATACTTATATATTGCCTTCAACGTGAGAAAATTCTAAATATGTGTCTATCGAGATTTCGGAGATATTGCGTTTTAATGGACACCACAGACGGTCAGTTCAACTGATCATTCCAACTGATCAGTTCAAACTAAAACTGTTGATATTTTTTTTAAATATTAAATTTTCAATATATCGATTATTATAAATATATCAATATCGGAGTTTTATATATAAGTTTATTTATTGATATATCGAAAATCCAATGTTTTAAAGAATATCAACAGTTTTAGTTTAAACTGATCAGTTGGAATGATCAGTTGAACTGACCGTGTGTGGCGACCATAAGTTTATTTATAATTTTTATGGGAATAGGGTTGTCACAAAATAGTAAATATTTAAGTTGATTATTTTAATCGATTAAATCAATTATGCTAGCAAATGCTAAACGCATATAATATATCCTCGCTATCTAATTGAATTATCATTTTGTCAGTCGTCAGCGTGATATCATTTGCTTCAAGCCCTTCTGATTCTAATTGGCTGTAGTGAACATTGTCTATTGTTACACTTAAGAGTTGAAGCACTGATTTCGGTAAGGGCAAAGATTTTTATGTTTATGGCGTATACTAAATGTTAACCATGATACATAAGGATCGGGTGATTCTAATGCACGGTGAAAGAAGTCTAAAATTGTGGTTTTCTGACAAATTTCCGGGTATGATGTTGTCGATCATAACGCCAGTATTTGTTTCTTGACTCACCTGCTTGGTCAGATAATATTAGGTATATTATTATTAGGTATATTGGATAACGTGCTTACGTCTATGATTTGCCGGCCATGCATTAATATTTTGTGCATAGTGACGGACATACAACAGCAATTGTATTTTTCTACATACTTCGCAGCTAGAGATTTGCAACAGTCGCCAAATTTTGCGGCATCTATTATTAAGCCACTCGTCAGCACTACTAAAATAGTATGGAGATCAACACCAGCCAGGTCTCTATACCTAAGATATTTGCAAATGTTTGTCGATGTTGATCTGATAGTGATGTTTATTATGTGTTTCCATCATTGGTTGTCCCCGAATTCGGACGAACAACATCAACCGAAAGTGACATTTTGTCTCTTATTTCAATCTGTATTATTTTTTCCGCTCCTCTACAATTGTGGCTTCCGGTGATTTTTTAGTAACTCTCTACATCAAAACTGCTGGGTCATTTTTGTACCCCAAGTGAAGTAAGAACTCAAAAATTCTTATCCAGGCATGTAAGGGGCTTAATCCACGACGATAAGGCTTCTGAATTTATAGGTTCGTTCATGACAACATCCAACTTATTAAACTCTGTTGCTGTAGCTTCACAACAAGCACAATTTAATTGCGAAGTTGTCTCCGTAATAACGTTAAATACTTTACTATCTATAATGGATGGTTAAATATAATTTCGATCTGAGATTATGCTTTGACCTTCATCAGTGTCCGCATAAAGTGATGTTAATTGATTTATTTCAGCCTCTACCCAATTTTTTTCTTCGAGAATAGGTTCTTTCGTCTCATTTCGATACTGGATCCTCAACGGATGACAAAACCTGTAGGATTGTTGGCTTGGGTTAGACCACAACACGAAGCCGTCATTCGTTTTTAATTGTAAAGGGATATACGTTGTTTTAAATAAACAATTTTCATTTTCGTTATCATCATCTAAAAACTTTTGTTTATAAAAAGACTGTCCTGTACTGCCATCGAACCCCCTAGAATCCTGAAATGTACAATATGCTTTGTTTTTCCGCTTTTGTTGGCAATATTGTGAATTTTTTTCACTACCTAATTTTATGATTCGGCGGAAAGTGTGTAGTAATAAACAGTGAAGTGAGACACTTGCGTCCCTTTCAGTAATAACAATTTCTTCTTCAGAATAACACGCTTTTTTTGCTACTTTTAATTTATAATATGGAGGATAAGCTAAGAAGCCTCTGTCTTTCAAATCTTTCTGTATGATAGTTTAATCTTCCACAGTTAGTTTTCTATCAATTACGAAAGAAAGGGCTTCATCAGGGGTATAGGGTTTGGGTTCGGCTTTCGCTTTGATGGATGTTGCATATTTTTTAGGTTGAGTTGGACTTTTCAGACACTCACTTATTATGAACTTTAATCCTTTAGCAGAGCTTCTGTTAAGGTTTTCCCCGCCAATTCCGTCAGTTACTATTTTCGACATCATCTTAATTATTTTTGACTGTGGCTGATCTTGAAGCGACTCTTCGAAACTGTTTCGAATACGACGCATTTGATGAGAGCTCCATTCATTCGAAGCAGATGGAGTGTCATTAGACGTTCCGGGTATTGATTCCTCTTGGCGGTTACTAAATATATTTGAAGTTGATGGAGCTTCATACGAAGTTTCAGGTGTCAGTTCTGTCAGCAGCATATCGTTTACAGAACCTATACTTGATCGTTCTGGTTCTTGAGGTCTTAAAAGGTAATGAGAAGGAAAACTATCAATATTTTTATTTAATTCTATACAACTTTTTTCTATTTTGATTGGTATTGGTACAAGCCATTTCTCATTCTTTTTACTAAAGAGTTTTTTTTTTGCTGTCATTATAAAGTTTTTCTCAATTACAAAAAAAATTTGGAAATATTATCTTTGAGGCCTTTACATCAAGATTTTTAAGAATATCTGCTGGATATAACGCATTTAAAATAATCATTGCCTATTCGTTGATTTCATGGTCACCAGGTTTTTGTTTTGACCCATACTGTCGGGCCATTTCAACCAAAACGTTATAAATCTCCAGTTTCGTTAGTGTATTTGGATCCGTATTTAGTCTGAGGTCGTCGGTAATCATTGCCACTCGCTGAGCAGCATTAAGGTTGGCGCCCTCATGCCCCCCTTGCATTAAGTCCTCTGATCGGGGCCCAGAAGGACGGGTCAGTGCCTGCTAAGGCAAAACAGTGCCATGGGTCTTTGACGGCTCCATGAAACCTCACCCCCGCTTCTCCAGATATTATGTATAGGGATTAGGTTTTAACATTTGCCTAACGAGAGCGGACCCCTTCCCAGTCCCACATAATATCCTTTATCGAAAATATATTAAATTATAAACAAAAGTAGTAATTGAATTCAACAGCAAACATTTTTTTTAAATTTGACTTGAATTTTCTGTACTATTTTTCCTAAATATGTTAACAGTGTACGTCACAATATAAACCGGCGATTGCCCAATACTTGAGTCAGAAATAATGAATCACAATCAGTAATGTTTGCATGAAGTAAGTATTGTACGGTGCACACAAGCATGATTGACAAGTGACAACCCTAACCCAAGATTTAAAAATTCCATATTTCCGAAATCCTCGGTTTGTTGCATCTGTTTTTTATGTGGCGATAGTTATTATAGCGATCAACATTTAGGCATTAAAAAAAGCGACCGTGAAGAGAATCGCCGGAAAAAATTTTTGAAAATCATAGAAAAATATATTCTCGCCCGTGTGAGCAAGCCTGTGTTAGCTTTCCAAAAAAACACAAAACGAGCATATCCGCAACTAAGGCAAAATAACACACTGTGCACTTGTGTGTGGTGACTTTTCGGACCGATACGCATTAGGGATTTTCAAGAAACGAGCTTACTCTTTTTTAAAAGGCCTGCAACTGTAACGCATCTGCAATTCCCTTCATGTTGCAGTTATTCATGGGCGGCGGTTAACATTTACCATCGATTATAAAAAAAAAAACATTAAGGTGCCGAAAAGAAATAGTACTTACTACAAAAACCTTTTTCCAAAAACAAAATTTTCCAAATATGCCGCCTCATTAAAAGTAACAGAAGTAAAGCAGCCTTCATACGCCTCTTTGCTAGGCGTAAGTCTTTTCTTTGTAGTTTTCCGTCAAGAGTTACACCACTCTTGACGGAAAACCACGTAATATATTGTCAGTTTCCCAAATTACTTATAGTATATGTTACACATTTATGTAAATTTCAACATATAATATGCGAAAAGAATGAATGAGGAAAGACTGACAAAGCAAATATATGTCGCAGAAGTGAATGGAAGAGTCAGAAAGGGACGTCCTAGGCGAAAATTTGTCGACCAAATTGGCGATATATTAAAAATGGGTCACATTAAGAGTACCCTTAACCGACGAGCATGTATGCGACGAGATGTATGTCAGGATCATGCTAAATGGAAGTTTATAGTCTCCGCCTACCCCTCTGGGTGACAGTCGTGAGTGTTTATGTATGTATGTATAATATGCGATTTGATACATTTATTTATTTCAACACTTACAACTATCTTTACAGGTTATCCTAATACGATAGTGTAACTGTTCTATACGCTATTACTATAACTATTCTATATGCTATTATTATTATACGCAATTAACTTTTCAAATTATGTACATAACAGATAATACATAATGCTGCCTTTGTGAATTCACTCAGGAAACAACAAAACAAGTCTATTTCTCCCGCTATCACATTAAGTATACAGAGACCAAGTATGAGAGGCGCCTGACGCATTAGGTTTGTCCTTCAGTTCAGCCCGGCAAAAAGGTTTTGGCCGTCGCCGTCTCCCTATGATATACATAGGGAGACGAACTATATATATAGTTAATTGCAGTTAAATCTTTATACTAAAACACTAGGCATAGGTCACTCCTCACTGCTAAACGTTGCAACAACGGTGCCTTTTTTTTTTCGATGATTTATTTATTCACTAGGAGGCACGGGACATTTACGTTACATTTACTGATGGCGCAGTGGCGCAAAAACTGAAAGGTTGTATTAGCTGTCGCTTTCGCTGGAATACTGTGATCTTGCTCAGCGGTAGAACTACTCACTTGATACGTAAACTTCCTTTAAATGTGGCAATGCGAATTGGTCGTGTGGGATGTATACCCGATGTCACGCAAGCGTATGAATAAACCGCTTAAAAGCAGTCTACAATGACAACCGAATGTTAATGGGTTGAGTGGTCGACTTGCTCGCAGTCAGCAGTCGGAGGAACAGCGGCAAATGAAATTAACGAGTGTTTTAAGGCTTCGTCGTTATGAACTAGAGTTGAAAGTTTGCTTCTCACAGCCAACATGAAAGTCCGAGTCTATAACAACCGAGATCTATATAACTATCTAATAATTTTCATACCGCGACATTTTTAACAAGGAAGTCTGCCGTGCAAAAGCCTTTTTAGTCAGGCTCTCGCTCAGGTTCAGTCCATTTTCGGTGAATATTTTTTGCCCTCTTCCGTTTTGTTATGAACGAGGCAACTTGACTCATCTTAATCAGATTCGAAACAGTCCGACGCTGCACTGCAGCCTCTTGAATAGAAGTGAGATTTTGCAGTAAACAGTAATCTTGTATATTACATGGCAGGTTCGACAGGCAACTTCGAACACTTCGAATTATGAATTATCGCTGTACGGTCGTCTACCTTCATACTAATACCGAATTACGTTTATTATGAGCAAATGGGAATTTCCCATTGTTATAAAGTATTTTATTTTAAGCTTGTCTTTATATTTAGTTTACCTTACATTAATGTTTTTCCAACCGCATAACTTTTTATACTGAATGACGCAATCAAACATATTTATGATACTAGCTTTATTTCGCGGATTTGCTTTGGATTTCGCTTTGTTCAACACCATTAGTATTTCATGCCAAAATCGGCATTCCCTCGTTGTTTATCAGCGAGTCTTTCTCTTTCACAAACGTTCTTTTCATAAACTTAATGATGTTTACTCTATAATTGTTTAACATTGTAGATATAAAATATATTAATATATGACTTGACAACACCGCCACTTATCGAATGCAGATTTTGTGATTTTCTTTTTTGGTGTTAAACTAACATAATGTATTATTTTTTTGCGAACATGAGCCATTTTTGGCCATAAATATATATTATTTTGTTAATAACTTGACGACAGCGCTACAAATCGGATCCTAGCATACTTATGGACCATCACATCGTCGCAACTAAACAAATATTATTGTATACTACGCGTTTATTTCAAATTTGGCGTCGTCGACCGTTATGATATCACAGCTGACGGTACCGTAACAATTATCATGTTTATTTATATTATCACATGAACATGATGACTATTTTTTTGTTAAACTGAGCAAAACTAAGTAAGTAGTTTATTGTCCCATACACAGAAATTGAGAGCAAACAAGTAGATAAAATGCATTTTATAAAATAATTTATTTAGTAAAGTGAAATAAAAACAGTGAAAAGGAACGTGTCCGATACAATTATAAAATATTATAATTAAATTTTTTTATAGTTTTATTTTACATTTCAAATATTTCAAATAAGTACATAAAACATTACGAAGGCGCTGCTATCGGTACTAATAGGTCCTTTGAGCCTGATTGAACCAACGACTAATGGTTGCATAAGTTGCTGGTTCAAATCCGAGCAAAAATATTGGGGTATGAGACGAATGTTTAATATTTCTTCTACGATGACACCTTAAAGGAATAATGCTCTGCGGTTTCCAGGCCACCTGACAAACATGGTAACCATGGCAAATATCACCGTTATGAGGCAAATTTATGAGGGAGAGGCCTATCTTCAGCAGGGGACTATTGATGGGCTGTTAATAAAGAATATTGTATCGTAGGGTACGAGTATAAGCACAAAGCATTTTTTACTCCAAGTTCCACCTTCATTTTCACGTGATGAGTACTATTAATTATTATTATTGAATAAGATTTCAAATCCCGAAAAACTCGAAATCGCCGAACACAACCCAGTCTGTATTTGGGTACGGCGCTTTCGGGTAATGTCATAGGGAACATTACCAAGAGTGTGAGTGAGTGTGTGTGGTGAATATGGACAAGTCTTACAAGTTATGGATGTCAATTGCCGCAATCTTCGAAAGGTCTACATCCAGCAGTTGTTTATGAAAGACGGTTAAGAACAAACAAAACTTAACTACACTAACATAATTGTGTAGAGTACTTACAAATTTTATTTAATGTGCCGTGCGGTGGGGGCGTAAAAGGATCTATCAGTTCACCCCAGGTCACCCCAAGGGTGTCAAATAAGGTGCATGTCTTATAGAGTAGGATGACAAACGAGTACACAGTCCACGTGAAGATAAATGCATGTTGTGGCCCATAGACATCTACATTTATCCTCAATTTTTTTATAGCATTGTGTGACAAACGAGCACAGTCCACAGTAATGGCAAGTGGATGCTGTGGCCCTTAGACATCCACATTTGTCCTCAATTAAGAATCAAAATGCAAATGCGTTGTCACCCCGGAGGACTAAGATGGAATGCCTCGATTCCAGTAAAACGGGTCTCCGGTTCTCTACACTCACCATACGAAACACAGCAGTATTACGCTGCTATTTTACGCTGGTAACATAACATAACATAAACACTCACGTCTGTCACCCAGAGGGTTAGGC